CACTGATCATTGAGACAACCCTGGGGCAAATCATTTAACCCCTTGTAAAGTGGGGCAAATAATCTAATCTCTCGATCCAGAAGGGAGCACGGACATTATGCACACAAACGGGCTCCACATCATGGGCCCGCTGGTACATTCAGGGCCACGGTCGGTTGCTGCTGTAGTGCAGGCCGGGATTCGCCGGACGGCAAGGGAGAGAGGGAGAGAGGGAGGCAAAGAAGGGGCTCCGGCAGCTGGATCTGAGTGCCCGCCGGAGACGCACGGGAGCGATCTCGAGCGCAAGAAGCACAAGGGAAAGATGAAGAATGCATGCGTGTATTGTCGTGTCGTGCGCCACTGGATTCCAGTTGCTTATAGACATATGAAACTGCCGACCGGCGCCAGAAATTCGCAGACAACTCTTGATAATCCACAAGATCAAATTGTCCACTGCGCACACTACACATCCGTAAACTTTTGCGCTAGCAGCTGAATCGATCAAGCAGGTAATTAGGATACCATTTCCCATAGTACACACCGAAAAGTCCCTCGCAAAAACTAAAAAAAGGAGCAGACGAACAAGAAGAAGCGGACAAACTATTCACAGAAGCATGCTTGGACTTGGACATACCGGCGCCCTTGTCGACGGAGGCGTTGAGGAAGGTGATAGGCACCATCATGTCCGCGACCGACGCCGCGGAACGTCGATGCGGCCTTCTCCTTCTGCCACCGCCGCTCGTCGCCTGCTCGTCCGCCGCTTGCACGCTGACGCAGCTGCCGGCGAGGAGGAGGACCAGAGCGAGAAGCGCGCACGGCCCGACGCCACCAGTCCTCGTCTTCACCATCGTATCAATGGATCGAGTAGTAGAAGCAAGATCGAGCCGATCGGTAGGAAAATCCCTCAAGGACGTATATTTAACGAGCGCATAGCAAGGGAGTGACGCACCTATATAGCCTACACATAAACAAGGAGTTAATCAAGCGAGATATATCCTAATCAATGAGAAAATTAATATGCCTCCAAATATGGGCGCGCAGTAGCGTACTACTACTCCATATATCCACATTGCATAGGCAAATTGACCATGTTAATTACATGCATGCGTTCCATATTTGCCAGCGAACTATTTGGGGGTGCAATTTGGCAGCTAACTAAGCAGCAGGAGGGAATCAAACAAGAATTAAGTTAGGCAATGCCACCCTGGCTCATAAACGGCGAGAGAAGAGAACATGTGCGCGTGTACTACCAGCAGAATCCATCCATGAGAAAGAACGTAGAGACAGCGCGCGCATACGGCGACCGAACACGCGACAAAGCAAAAGAGGTAACGGGCGCACGGCACGCGTGTACGCATCCATTTCTATTGATCGTCCTATATGCGTGTACGTTTTGCGTAGGTGCCGGTTGATTTCGATGGCTCACTCGCATCCGTAAATCGGCTCCGGACGATTAGGGATGTAAGTGGCAAATAAATGACGTCCGCAATCCTGTTTAGTTAGTTTTTGCTAGCTTGATAGTTTATTTTTCTCAAACAAACAAAAATTCTTTTTAAACTATCATATAGTAAGTGAACTTTAAACGGGATTAAACGGGACCCGGTTGACATCCCTACGGACGATTACAGTGTCAGCATGCACTGGTTGTTACTTGTTACGGTAGGACAATACCTTTTTCATACGACCAAACTTTGGCCGCGCTCCACCTCCACTATCAGCCCACTATATATCATCAGATAACGGAATGAAGATAAAGAGCATCCAGTGCAAAAGGCAGTAAATTTTATAATCTCGGACAAGGAAAGCAAATATAATCACTATGAGCAACTTTAGCAAAGTCATCATATTAGCCCTATCGACATAATAACTAATAATCGAACAGTTCAAAAATTTGTTACTTTTTCCGGGGAATGCACTAAGAAGCTAGCTAAAGCTAACCAAACGGGACTTGTAGACGCCGCTTATTTGCCATTTACATCCCTATAGCCACTTATTAACAAGCACAACCTTAAAGCTTATGTGCATTAGCTACAAAATCACCATACGTAACAATTAATCCATATACAGTCGTGATTATAGGATGATGATGATAGAGTACAGAACGTGTAACTTCAAACTATAGACAGGGATGCTTTCCTTTTTTTTCAAGGAAGAAAGGAGAACTGCCTCACGGCTAATTAATTTCCTAGGTAGGCATCCACGTTGGCATTGACGGATCTCGATAGAAACTTCATGCAAATCGGCGGCTTCACCTTTGCAAGGGCGAGGATGGACTGCGGCAGCGTCCAAATGCCGTCGCCGCAGATCAGCCCCGAGGCGACCGCGGGCGCAAACGCGTCGGCCTTGGCCTTGTTCACGATCCCCCACACGAAGACGATGACGGTGCCGACGAACATGTCGATGGCGAAGTAGGAGCCGATGTAGAACGGTATGGCCATGGCCATGGGCAGCGGGATGAACCTGGCGACCTTGGCCGGCACCAAGTCCCTGACGAGGTTGATGATGATGGCGCCGGCGAAGAAGACGTAGCAGAGCGTGAGGCAGTGCTTGGGGAGCGAGGAGAAGCCGTCGACGCCGAGTATGGCCATGTTGCGGTAGACGATGGCGTAGGGCGCGGGGTACTCGGTGCCGCTGATGCCGATGTCGTCGAAGGCCTTGTAGAAGAGCCAGAAGACGCAGGGCGCGATGACGCAGCCCATGCCGGTGCCGATGATCTGGCTGATGAACATGGACCTCGGCGACGCGAGCGTGAGGTAGCCCGTCTTGAAGTCCTGCATGAGGTCGGCGGCGGTGGAGACGATGCTCATCATGACGCCGCAGGCGGCGAGGCCGACGAGCACGCCGCCGTGCGGGGCGCCGGCCCACGCGCCGAAGATGAAGATGGCGAGCTTGCCGTAGGTGGAGGCGAGGGACCAGTCGGTGAGGCCGGTCCCGTAGGCGTTGCAGAAGGCCAGCACGGGCGCGAAGACGTACGCCACCAGGATGTAGTACCACTTGAGGTCCGGGAAGATCTGGGGCAGGGTGGCGATCGACACCGCGGCGACGGCGGCGTACCCCGCGTAGGCGACCGACTTGGGGATCTGGTCCTTCATGAATTGTTCGGTGCGGCGCTGCTCGTCGAACGATACGGGCTCGCCGGTGGCCTTGGCGCCGCCCACGTCCGAGACCGGGATGGTGCTGTTCTTCTTCACCATGGCCGCGAAGGCGACGCTCGTGCGGACGAGCACCTTGACGAAGTTGTACAGGCCGTCCCCGAGGATCATGGCGATGGATATGAACACCTACAGTGTCGTTGCGATTGGTTGCTTAATTAGTACTGGCAACAGTGGCACCGATTATAGCCAAGAAAATTCAAATCAAAGACGATGAAATGTGTAGATATTTGTTTACCCTGTAACCCTGGAGGCCATGGAGACTGCTGTCTTTGAGGTCAGCCGAGTACCAGCTCCCTCTGTTGTTGTGTATCAAGGGCCACATCACACCCCACGACAGGATGCCTCCCAGTAGAACAGACACGTTCACTATGTGCGGGCAGATCATCCCGACTCCAACATAGGTAGGGGAGAAATCGAAATAAAACCTGCAATTTCGAAATGTGAAGTCCAGTTTGGACAATGAGTTCAGATCTCCATATAAATACAGAAGGCCTCAGGCCAGCTTCAGACATTCAGACCAAGATAACAGGCATTATCTAACCTGCTCTTGTAGGCCTGAAGGCCCAACGTAGGGAAGTTCTGGAACCCACAGCCATCTCCAGCAGTGTAGAACCACTGGAAAAAGCCCCAGAGGAAGCTGAACGAAAAGAACTTGCCCAATGTCCTTACTTGCTTCCTGAAATGTCATAACCGTGTTGTCAGAAACTGTATTTCACCAAGGAGAATACTAGCACTGCGACATTCGGATGATTAGATTACTTTGCAAGCTTTGCACCCTCTGGCGTGTGGAAACCGTTGATAAGGTACGCGGTCGCGGTGCCACTTGGATAGGTGAGCTTGTAGTCGACAATCATGATCTGAACCAGAAAGTGATTTGAGACGATTAGTACTCCCTCCGTTTTTAAATATAAGACATTTTAGAGGTTCCAATACGGACTACATATGGATGTATATAGACGTTCCGTATATAGTATGTATTGGAATCTCTAAAAAATACTGTATTTAGGAACGGAGGGAGTAAGCCTCCTTTTCCAAAAAAAAGGAACAGAGGGAGTAGATGGGTATACAGGGATGTTGTAAGAGCGTAGAAATGCAGAAATAGGCTGCAGATTTACCTTTCTCAGGGGCACGAGAGCAAATAGCCCAACGAAACTGACGAGGAAGAGGAACCCTATCATCCACCCGATGTGGGGGTCCTTGACATTCTGAGCATCGTTAGCCTCTGTTGCTTGGCTGGCGATGGTTCCACTCATGGCAAACAAGTAATTGCCAAATCCACCTAATCAATTGGAATGAGCCAGTGCAGTGAATATCACATTTCTCCATGTATGGAACACGGATTATAGGTAGTCCAAGCCATCAAATATTTACAGGAAAAGTTTAAGTTCAAACAAACATGTCCCTAGATTTATCTACTGTTCCAAATATTCAAATTTGAATTTCAAAAGCTTAAGCCAAGTAACCATAGTTTTTTTGGGTAGACATCTCTATCTCCTTTTTTTTTGCGGA